ATTTGGCCCTTTTAGTACTGTTTGGCACCCTTTTGGCCTTTCTAGAGTTATTTTTTATTTTTTTTCTTTTTAACACTGTTTTCACCCTTTTTGTTTTTTACCCTTTTAACCTTTAAAACAAAAGGCTCGGAAAGCCGAAATTGCCTAGAAGGCCAAAATGGCCCAAAAGGCAAAAAAATGGCGTGAGTCGGCCCGCAGCTGTGGCGTGCTGGGCCGCCCCTTTTATCTGGCGTGACATGCCGATCTGCGTCTCGAAACCATGCATCAGGCTGGCACAACACTTCCTTTTATAGTAGGGCCTTCAAAGATCGTGTTTTGCCAGGCCTTTATAATGCTGGGCCGTGCCGGGTCTGGCAGTGCCGTTCATATGGCCTGGTCTGGATGACACTCGACTCAATCCTATAGCTAGACGGGATGCTCAAGTTTTTGCTTGGCGACTAGCCAAGACATCGATCCCAACTGGAGAGGTTAGGAACCACGGGAAGATGACAGATTCACCGGCTTGCTAACTTTGCCATGCGGCGGTGGATACTTGGAGACACTCTTTGTTTGACTGCCATATGTCACAGTGTGTATGGGCACTGGCTGACGAGGAATTGACAGAAGTAATGATTTCAAACCGAACCGCGGATGCTAGATTATGGTTGTTTTGGCTAATGGACACCTCACCAGAGAAGGAAGTTATTCAAATTTTGATTACGCTGTGGGCCATATGGTGGGCACGATGTCGTGCTATTCACGACGATCGGTACCAAAGCCCGCTAAGCACCATGGCCTTCATCACAAAATTCCTGGAGGATCTTGAGTGTACGGCTATGGACAAATCATGCATGAGCAGGGATCTGCATGTGAGGCCCAAGGACATGCATGTAATAGCTGAAAGTTCGAGGACAAGAGCAACAAGGTCAGTTTGGCTCCCCCCAACTGACGTGGATGCGAAACTAAACGCAGATGGAGGCGTGTCCAGATGTGGCAGGAGGGGTGCAGCGGCGGTGATCTGCCGTGACAGAACATGAGTTTTCCTGGGAGCTTCAGCAAGAGTCTTTGATGGCCTCACGGATCCGCCCTCGTTGGAAGCACAAGCATGCAATGAAGCCCTTGCTTTGGTGGCAGACCTTAATCTCAGTTCTATCTGTGTGGCTTCGGATTGTACTGCCGTGATCTCTATGATCGGTTTGGGTGTTCCTTGCCACTTCACATCGGTTTTGAGTGAAATAAACCATCGATCTAGTAGTTTTCATGATATTCGGTTTGTACATGAGAATAGGAAGTATAATGTTGAAGCGCATGCTCTAGCAAAAGCAGCGGTTTCTTTGTCTACCAGGCGCCACCTGTGGCTTGTTACTACGCCCGATATCTTCTGTATCCCTACGAATATCCAGATTTAATAAAGGTTACAGATGCTCAAGAAAAAAAAAGCTGGAAAAATCTAGAATTAATTTACTTTTTTAACCGAGGAAGGATCACGAAGGACCTGGACTCATATGATGGGAACTATACGTGGTCTGGACAGTGACTCATATGATGGGAACTATACGTGGTCTGGAGAGTGGGATCCAAACTCAAACTGGTCCAGGACCAATTTGAAAAGGAGCTGACAACCAGCAGGTTTATCCAGAAATTAATGACTACAACTAGCAAATTCAAGAGAGATCAGGATAAGGACCCGGACCACTCAATCCTGTAGCCTCATCAGGATCGTCCTAGCAAAAAACCCTCCGCCTCCCATTAAAACATGGATGACAGCAAAAGTATGTAATTTAGGGTAAACTGAAAGAAAACATTTTCTTCAACTAATTGCAAATTAGTAATAAACCCCTATTTATGTAATTCAAAACTTTGAGGAGGTACGTACAACTGTAGAAGTCTAGATAATGCTTTGACCATGAAGGTAGTGAAGTTCGCTATATCGATCATAGATGCATATTTCACTAAAGTAAATTACACTTCTACACTATAATTAAATATTTCACATTGTTTTTACTCTCCTAAAAAATCCATTAAACTGGCTATGGTTATATGATTTGAGAAGAAAGCATGGTATGTTATATTTTTGCGGACTATTAAATTAATGTTACACCATTCTTGAATTATTTTCTAGCAATATTATTCCCTTTTGCTTCCAGTTAATGAACTACAATCCAGTACTTCCACGAATTAAATCGTTGTCGATGTCTACACTTACAAGGAAAGAATGCATGCTATGATTGTGGCAATGCGAACAAAGTGTGCTTCTGGCCTTGTTCCTACATGCAACAAGAACGGTGAATACACATGCCATATCCACGTACGGTAAGCAATAAAAAGGAAACAAATGAACGTAAAAGAACATGTTGCAACGTGGTTAACTTCAACACTACAAATCGATATCCACGTTTTTACAACATAAATAATAGTGAACAACTACACCAATACAAATCAAGCCGCCTACCGGAGTACAACAGTCTACAAAAAAAACACAAACATAATGTCAGCGACAATGAATTGACTCATATTCCAGAGCCCTTGTAAATGTTGGTTGCTGGTGATGAATGTGAATCTTGGCTACTATGAAGAAACCAATGGTACGGAAGTAGCGAGGAGAGTATGATGCCTGGCAACGGAAAGGGGCCGTAGAATCGAACATTGGGTCGAGATAGGCAAGCAGGACGTTTAGTGATCCACAAAGTCTAAGATGGATCGAGAGAAGGACCGAAAGGAGAACATTGGTTGTGGTGGGGTGGTGATAGAAAGTAGATTGATTGCTATGCAGCGAAAGCCGGATCGGGAGTAGGGCACGACATATGCTAGATTTATCATTGCACTTAGATCCGTTGACAAATATGGTCAGACACATATTTGACCGAGTTACAAAGATCCACTTGTTGTAGTTAATTAGTTCACCTAATTGATAGTCAGATTGCCTTTTATGATTTACTAGTATATCTGTCTATCTATTTTTACCTATATATCGTGCTCTTAGTAGATACTACATCGTTCCAAGATAGTTGAAGTTCTGAGTTTATTCCAAGTCGAACTTGTTTAACTTTGACCAAGTCTGTAGAAGTTGTTTTACTGACAAAAAATAAGAAGACTTGGGCACGAAGGAGGTGTTTTCAAGAGATCGCATTTTAATTCTTAGTCATAGAAATTACTTTGTATTATTTTCTGGATCTTGTATACAAATCAGTATACCTGTAATAGTGATATGTATGAATAAAATTGCAGGTGTTTTTATTTTTTTTTAAAACCAAAGAACTATAGAGAGAGATATAGTTATAGATATAGAAAGAAGAAAGCGTGCTTCTCGTGCCTGCATGTCCTTACTCGACATTATGTCGATCTACCAACCATGGTGGAGATCTGCCACGTAGACCCCTCCTAATCTACTGATTGCCTAGCAATTAATGGTGACGGGCCATGCATTCGGTTAAGTGTCACATGGCTATATATACGGGCTGCTATGGTTCCCGATTAATGATGGCTCGGAAATTCGACTTCGAGAGCATAAGTGGCTACGTAATGCTACACCTGGGAGCAATATTGCGTGTCACAAGGGTGACACTAAGGTTTTGGAATCATTTTCGTCAATATTCACCTCTGTATAATATTGCGTGTCACAAGGGTGACACTAAGGTTTTGGAATCATTTTCGTCAAATGTGACGTTCAGAAGAGATGTAGTTGGATATAGACTCCAACCGTGAAACATACTACTCTAGCGGTTAACCGCAATACAGTTGTCACAAGGGACTGATGTATTTCGTTGGAACATCCATGGAAATGAGCAATTCACAGTGGAGTCTATATGTATAGAGTTTTGATCCAGTCTGATGTGCCAGTTCATAATAATAAGAAGATATGATAGATAAATATACCTCTTAAGAATAAAATCTTTACATGGTATCTTCGTCGCGAAGTTATTCTTATAAAGATAAGCTTATTAAGAGGAATTGGTATGAAAGTACGCAATGTATCTTTTGTCCGCATGAAGAGACAGTAAAACATTTGTTCTTCTAATGTAAACTAGCTTATTCTATATGGTCAGTCATTCGAGTTGCTTCTAGCTTGTATCCTCCTTGTAGTGGTTCTAATATATTTGGCAACTGATTACATGGGATTGATCTCAGGTATAGAATTCTTCTCAGGGTGGGAGCACTGCCGTGATTTGCCATGATAAGGTTGTTCACGATAAAAATACTTCTTTTATGCAGGTTATCTACATATGTACTGGGGCGCTACGTTTATGGTCATCTTTACAATGAGTGAAGAATCAAGACCTATTTACAGAGGTGTGTACACAATTGAAGGTCATGGCGATGAATACTTTTATCCAACATTGATGGCAGCATGTTCTTAGGATTCGGCCACCTAAAGTTACCGAACTTGGTTTATTTGTATGGGAGTACCTAGAACTCATCTAGATGAGATATAATTTGGTCTCATTCACTTTAAAAACAAGAACAGATACAACCCACGTCAGCACACACGCATCTTATAGCATCACATCCAATGACTATAAAAGGTGAATGAGACCAAACTATGTCTCATCTAGATGAGTTCTAGCAAAATTGTATTTGTATTTCGCCTTCTTTTTTTTGGTTTTGTGTGAGGACTTTGTTGGGTGTGTGCGTCTTAGTGATGTAGAGGCCGGGTGTAATGCTTAAAACTTTCAAGTAATAAAGTGTTCCTTTTCAAAAATAAAAAATAAAAAGGGAAGAACTAACAGAGAGATACATAGTTAGAGATATAGAAAGAAAGAAAGAACGCGTGCTTCTCGTGCTTGCATGGCCTTACTCGACCTTATATCGATCTACCTACCATGATCCACATATAGGTGGTGGAGATCTGCCACGCGGACGTGTCATAACCTTCTGATTGGCTAGCCATTAATGGTAACGGGCCATGCGTTCGGTGATCGATCGGTGTCACACGGCTATATATACGGGCTGCTAGCCAGCTTCAAACGCACAGCAAGATTGGTAAAGCCGGCCGAAGAGGCAAAGCTGACTAATCTGCAACAATGACGATGAAGAGATGCATCATTCCTAGCATCCTGCTGATGCTCGCACTTGAGGTCGCCGGCCGCCCCTCCGCTGTTGCCGTCACCAGCGACGAGGGTACCATTCTCCTGCCGAGCGAAGGCAAAGGTACGGCGCTGCGTGCGTGCATGCCGCTTGTGTGTGTACCCATTTATCTATTCCTTGTACAAGCTTATCATCACATGCTCACAGCCGTCAGCTCGTTGAGGGCTTACAGAGCAAGTAGGAACGGCGGCGGCTTCCAGGCCATGGGATTGCTGCGACAACACCATATGCACCAGGTCCTTGCCGCCTATCTGCATCTGTCTGGACGAGGTCGACGAGTGCGCCTCCACCTGCATGGACTGCGTGCCGTCCGTCTCAAACCCCTTCCGCCGCGTCTGCGGAGACCAGTACTTCGGCGACCCCGGGCCCAAGTGCACCAACACCGTCGCCGGCGACCACAACGAAGACGCCCTCAAAGCCAAAGGTGATCACCAAGATAGCGTAGCGGCGGCGGCAGAGGAGGAGAAGCCGTGGGAGTGCTGTGACCAGGTCATACCCGCCGATGTGCCGCTGCGTGGACCAGGTCGAGCAGTGCGCTACAACATGCAAGAGCTGCGGGGTGTCCATCTTGAACCCGTTCCGCCGCGTCTGCAACGACTGGTACAACGGCTTCCCAGGTCGCAGGTGCACCGAGGCCGCCGGCAGCGGCGGTAATAACTAGCACCGGCGTTCATCATCTGATCAACGCCGTCAACCGTGCACTTGAGTTGCTCCTGCATGCACTGTGTGACAATAAAATAAGAAATGGATGGCCGGCTGGCCTGCTACCGCTACTGCTTGCCTGAATGGTGATCAGGCAACTATGCATGAATAATGACAAGTCGAGCGTCTCTATGTTGAAATATTTCAATCATGAACGGTGTGGTTTTTTTCATGACAAGTTAAATTGCTTACCACATGTCCCGCGTGGTGAATGGTGTGATTTTTTGGTTTCCCATGGTCTCGCTAGAGCTCTCGCGAAAAATATATATAACAACTTCTATAAAAGAGCCAGTTGGTGATGATGGTATGTCTACCATCCGTCATTTTTGACCATCTCGTCTGCATCTAAGACATCCGAGGTAAGCTGTCATATTTTTGCAAAATGTCCCCTGCCACGCTGCTCTACATTTGCAGAAAACCATTTAGTCTCTCCAGACATCCCTGTCCCTCCCATATATCACGATTTTTTTGGGCAAAACCTAACACGCTTTTAGTGATATATATATACAAAAACATAGGGTGATTTTCTTTCAAGTATGAAAACGCATTAGTCTATTTTGGATCCGCTGCAACGCAAGGGCACTTTGCTAGTTTCTAATATGAATACGAAGATCAACTATGTTCTCTCTAAATCAAGCGAAAAATTATTTTCTTTTTTGATCAAAAGGGGTCACATCCCAATCTTCATTTTCATTACCCTTCTGCGAATGGCCAGGCACCTGATTTTTGTATTTAATGTCAGTCAAATCCGTGGCTGTTGATTTCTTTTTCACGATTTGTGCAGCTCGGTGGCCATGGGCAGGAATCAATTGACCAGTTTTTTCATTTTTCTTCGATTTCTTTCGCTCTACTGGATTTGGCCCGTTAGTTAGTTGGGTTTGAAGCCTGGAGAGGTCCCATTCGTTATGTTTGCATCCTTCACCTTCTGCTATTCATGCCATCTTGAAAATGGTTTTCTAGCAGTTTCGCTATTTACTGGTACCTCATTAGCCAATCCCCTAACGCCACCGTATATTGTAAAGCATACCTCAGCAAGGAGGGGCTTTGCCCCGCTTATAGCAAGACGAAATAACATGTGGTTGGATGGTTAGAGGAAAAGTGGTATCCCAAGCCCTTCATGGTTCAAATCCTAGTGCTTGCATTATTTCTGGATTTATTTCAGGATTTCCGGCAATGCGCTTTCAGTGGAACGAGACGTTTCCGTCGACGACGAGGTGCCTAAGATGACTTCGTAAATCTCAAGATGATATGTCGGCTCAGTCTCTCGAAGGTGCTCACAGCGGTAGGATATTCGTTTGTGCGTTCATAGAGGTGAGTGTATGCGCGCATGTATGAGCGCTTGCATCTATACTGTATTAAAAAAAGCAAAACGAAATAAACCCTCCCCTCAAGCGCACCCCCCCCCCCACACACACACACACCCCTCCCCAAATGGGCCGGCCCATCATGGGAAGGAGGGCTGGCTCCTAACGCACATTTTTTTTCTATTTTGTTTTATTTCTTTAATTTATATTTCAGAAATGGATACGTATGTTATCTAAATCTTACAAAATAATTGCTCGCTTCAAAAATGTTCTTGCAGTGTAAACACAATGCTCACGCAAATTTAAAATGTTGCTTGCATACAAAAAAAATGTTTGTCATACTCAAAAAATATTTTACACTTGGAAATAAAATGTAGCAACATTTAAAACAATGTTTATACAATGTAAACCCAAGTTAATTTGTATAATTCAAAAATCGAATCATTTAAAAAATGTATGTGACATTTAAACAAATGTTCACCTGTTTCAAAAAATGTGCATAGCATTTATATAAAATATTTACACAATGTAAAAATATATTCACATTGTATAAAAAATGTTAATTGCCATTCAAAAAAGTTACGTCAATACTTTTAAAAATTGTTAATATACTTTACTAAAATTGTACATCTAATTTTATAAAATTTTCTTACAATGTAGAAACAAAAGTTTGCCTAATTTTAAAAATGTTCAATGCCATGAAAAAAATGCTCAACATTTATCTGGAAAATATTTTACATGTATTTCGAAAAATGTTCAAAACAATTATTAGTAAGAAGAATGTTATCACCCCGTAGTTAAGACGGGCAACATCCAAAGTGTTGTTATAAAAGGCATCGAACAAGCGCATAATATCAGGTTAAACAAAGTCCCAACAGTGCTTATAGAATTCAACTGGGATATTATCTGGACCCGGAGCTCTATTATTGTCCATACCAAATAGAGAATTTTTTACTTCCTCTTTCGTGAACTTACTAGTAAGAAGAATATTATCGTCGTCAGTAAGTTTTTCACTCTCAGACCAAGTACTAGGAGAGAGATGGAATAAAATTTCCCCTAGCAGGGCCGAACAACTCTTTATAATAGGCTATGGGGTGAGCCAAAAGGTTGTTTGTCCCCTCAATCACCACATCCCCACCAGTAAAAGAGTGAATAGTATTTTTCCGCATCCTCCCATTCGCCACTCAATGATAAAAGGCGCTATTTAGGTCACCTTTCAGCAACCACCGCTCATTAGATTATTGTAACTAGAACAACTCTTCATTAGCGAGAATATCAATGATCTCTATGCATAATGGTGTTTTCTATCACATGTGTCATGGTCGAGCGGTCCCTGTTCTTCCAAAAAAAATTCTAATTCTTCCAACTCCATTTTAATGCTTTTCTTAATTTTTTTTTCTAGCATGACCAAAAGTTGGAACCCCATCCTTTAAAATACTTCTTGAAATGTTTTAGTTTGATGTTAAGGATATCAATGCACTAGTAGAAAAGGGGCCAATGGTCCAGGCCGGTCCAGCCCATTAGTCCCGGTTCAATCCAGAACCGGGACCAATGGGGGCATTGGACCCGGTTCGTGAGCCCCAGGGGCCGGCCGGGCCACGTGGGCCATTGGTCCAGTTCGTCTGGACCTATTGGTCCCGGTTGGTGGGACGAACCGGTACCAATGGCCCTCGCTCCTGGCCCATCACCATTGGTCCCGGTTGATGGCCTGAACCGGAACCAAAGGACGACCATTAGTCCCGGTCCATTCCACCAACCGGGACTAAAGGGTTGGTCCTCGTTGCGGCCAAAGTTTAGTCCCACCTCGCCAACCGAAGGGGAATCAGACCGGTTTATAAGCCCCTCCCTCTCTGCCTTATTGAGCTCCTCTGAAAATGAAAATAGATGCCCTAATATAGGAAATTTAGCCTAAATTCATACGAATTTCTCTTGAAATTTGTTATGAATTTAAGTTGAATTTCCTCTATAAGCGCATCTATGCTCATTTCTGAGTAGCTTTTTACATAGTTTTTTTTTCTTTTCTGCTATATTTATTTTTTCTTTTTATTTCTGAGTTGTAATAAGTAATTAAAAATAAGCATCTATGCTCATTTTTTAGTAAAGTTAATCGTAACTGTTTTATCTTCTATTTATTTTTAAATTGTAATAAGTCATTAAAAATAAGCATTTATGCTCATATTTTAGTAAAGTTAATCACAACCGTTTTTTCTTCTTTTTATTTCTGAATTGTAATAAGTCATTAAAAATAAGCATCTATGCTCCTTTTTTAGTACAGTTAATCACAACTATTTTTTGCTTCAATTCATTTCTGAGTAGTTTTTTATATAATTATTTTTTCTTTTCTGCTATATTTATTTTTTTGTTTTTATTTCTGAGTTGTAATAAGTCATTAAAAATAAGCATCTATGCTCCTTTTTTAGTACAGTTAATCACAACTATTTTTTGCTTCTATTCATTTCTGAGTAGTTTTATATATATATTTTTTTTCTTTTCTGCTATATTTATTTTTTTCTTTTTATCTCTGAGTTGTAATAAGTCATTAAAAATAAGCATCTATGCTCCTTTTTTAGTACAGTTAATCACAACTATTTTTTGCTTCTATTCATTTCTGAGTAGTTTTCTATATAGTTTTTTTCTTTTCTGCTATATATTTTATTATTATTTCTGAGTTGTAATAAGTCACTAAAAATAAAAAAGAGGCGCAATGCTTGTTAATTTGCTTCAAGCCTTTCGGAATAGTGTCAACTGCACTGCACATAGCTCTGTGCAGTCTACCGTATTCCTCAAGGCTTGAAGCTAACCAACGTGCAGGAGCATTGAGCCTCTTCGTCATCGTCTCTGCACTCAGGGCTTATAAACAGCTGCGAGTGCCTCTCGCTTGGCGAGGTGGGACTAAAAAAACAGCTGCAGGAAGAATCAACAAGAAAACAGATGTAGAAATAAAAAGTAGTTAGACGGGTCTATTGGTACCGGTTGGTGGCATCAACCGGTACCAATGCCGCTCTTTGGTCCCGGTTGGTGGAACCAACCGGGACGAATGCCGCTCTTTAATCCTGGTTAGAGCCACCAACTGGGACCAAAGTCTTCGTTTCCCGCCCTTTGGGCTGCTGAAAAGAGGCCTTTGGTCCCGGTTGGTGGCACCAACCGAGACTAAAGGGGTCATTGGTCCCGGTTGGTGCCACGAACCGGGACCAAAGCCTTTGCTATATATACAGCACTTAGCGCGACTTCGATCTCTCCTGCTCCACTCCCGTCGCCGCGCGTCTCCCTGCCGCCACCTCGCCGTCGCCGCCCCGCCCCGACGCCGTCGCCG